CCCAATTAACCCCGTTTCCCCCTCCAGACAAAGATGGGATGGTCCTGCTGAACACGAGTCTCCAGGAACTTGCTGCTGGGGACCCTGTGCCCATCGTCCGAGTCCCAGGGGGCGCTTCCCTGACCCTGGAGTCCTGCCTGCTGCAGCTGGCCCCTCGGCCAGGACACTGGGGCGTCCACGTGCACATAGCCCAGCCGGAGGCCCTCCAGCCCTCCCTGGCCCTGCTGGCCCGCCTCTCCGCCCTGGGCCGCCTGCCTCGGCCCGTGTGGCTGGGGGCCGCTCTTTCCCACGGGTGCTTTGAGGCCCCCGGCTATGTGTCTGGCAGGGAGTTTCTTGCTGCGGTGGCCGAGGTCTTCCCCCACGTGACTGTGGCCCCCAGCTGGCCTGAGAAGATGCTGGGCAGCGGTTACACAGAACAGCTGATCACGGACATGCTGGCGCTGTGCCGGGGGCTCTGGCAGCCTGTGTCCTTCCAGCTGCAGGCTGAGCTGCTGGGCCAGAGTGGGGCGGGAGCTGTGACGAGGCTGCTGGCAGCCTCCCCCCGGGCCACAGTCACCGTGACACACAGCCCCGGCAGGGACAACTATGCGGCCATCCAGGCAGGGCTGCTGGCAGCCAGGGCCGGGGACAGAACCCGGGTCTACTTCCAGCTGGCCCAGCGTTTCCGCAGGCGGCTGCTGGAGGACATCGGCCGAAACTGACCGCCAGGACCGCTGGGCTCGCAGTGGCGGGAAGGAATACATGTCTGCATCCGCCCACTCTGCACAGGTGTCCTTGGGGCAGGATGGGGGCAGTGGGTCCAGGGGCCTAGAGGGTCTGGAGGCTGGGAGCCACCAGGTCGTTGCGGTTGTCCAAGAGGAACTGCTCGCAGGCCTTGAAGGTGGTGTAGAACTCGGAGGAGAGGCCGGCCACGTTGGTGGTCACGTAGTTGAGGAAGCCCGTGGTGGCCTGGTTGTAGTAGGATACCTGTGGCCACAGGACAGGGGTGCACACTCAGGGAGGCTGAGAGGAGCTCGCAGCGCACCCACCACCCTGCGTGTCGGGCAGGCATAGCTTCCTCCGACTGGCTCCCCAGCACAACCTGCTGATAACGCTGGGGGCCCAGCACTGCATCCCATTTAAATGAAGGTGCTCTGGGGCCCAAGGTTCAGGGAGGTGCAAGCTGCTCCCTGGGAGGTGAGCTCCGGGATCGGAGTCCCAAGTCTCACACCCTCGGCTGCAGACTGAAAGGATGGAAGGCCAAGTCCCCCCTGGAGGTACCTAGGAAGAAGGGCCTGGGGATCCCCTTTCCCAAACGATCACAGCCACTGGGTCCATGACAACCAAGACCCTGCAGCACTGGGGAGGGCTGCCCCCTGCGGGCTTCTGAGACGGACTCTTTGTGGGAGTGGAAAGATCCGGAGCCGCGGCTGATGATTTTGAGCTGCTGACTGGTGCAATGCAACGCATAAGCACTGCTCTACCTCAGCTGGCAAACTCCGACCACACCAGGCAGTCATGACTCAGAGGCAACCGGTCTGATTGGTGTTTACGGTCTGCTGGGCTGATGGGAGCTGCTGGCCCTGACAAGTTCTGGGTGGAGGAAGGGGAGCCGCGGTGTCCCCACTCCCTGCTCCCCGCTCCCACCCCACGTTTTCACAGTTAACACAGGTGGCCCTGCTGAGTGCTAGGGGCCCTCGGAACCACAGCGAGTTCATGGGTCCCTGGAGACTGAGAAGGGGATTCTATGGAAAGTCATGCCCTGGGATTTTAGATCAAAACCCAGGTGTGCATGGCTTGCTCCCAGAGCTGGCTGTAGCCTGGCTTCCCTGCACTAAGAGATCTTTCAAAACACAGACCGAACGTGATGCTGACTCGGCAACCCTAGAGGACAGGACGAAACCCCCCCCCCCACACACACACACACGTGAGACCAACTCTTTACAGGAGCAGAAAGCCCCATCTTTCTCCCTCAGCAGGCTCGTTACAAACTGCTGACCTTGTGGTTAGCAGCCAAATGCAAAACACCACTCTGCCAACACTTACAAGGGCCCACTCGACCCTGACCCCCTGTTCCCCGTGCTGGTGGGGACTGGCGTGGGTGTGGGGAGGTGCCGGGCGGCAGGACTCACCTTGCTCAGCTGGTCCCCCTCACACCAGAGGCAGAATCCTGAGCAGAGGGTCTCCACGCGCTTATATTCGGGCGTCTCGCAGTGTGTAGGCAGTGTGACGGACCTCAGTGCTATGACATAGGGATCCCTGCGGGGGCAAACGGGGCAGGGGTTGGAGGGGCAGGGATTAGCCACTGAAGGTCAGGGTCGGTTCTGCCCAGGCTCTGGCATGGATGCCCACCTCAACGGTCTTAATGGACACCCGGCCCCAGGCAGGAGGGAGGCTCCCGTGAGTCACTGGTCCTGCTCCTGGCCATCCCCACTGGCCTTGTGGGTTTCCAAGACTTTTTACTGCAACAGAAAGCCCCACCTGTCTCTGCCAGAGCAGTTGGTGGTTTTGAACTGCTAAACTTGCAGCCCAAGGAATAACCCACTACACCAGGGCTCCCCTCCCCTATAGGTCTGGCCCTGGATTCGCCGGTGTGATGTCACTAGGGCTCTTGGTGTAGATTAGTGTGGCCTTAGGGGGGTGCTTTCCTCATGCTGGGGCCTCCTGGAGTGAGTACAGAGCCCTATGGAGCTCTGGGCACAGGAGCCAAGGACCTGGACAAGGCAGCCACCCCAGGGAGAGAGGGCCATGACTGGGGTGGGAGGGCGTGGAGCTTATCTCCGTACTATGCACTGACTCAGGTCTGGAAGGGTACCTGGAACCCCACAGGACCCTACCTGCTGTCCTCACCCTGCTCGGCCCCAGTTGGCAGGTACCCACCCATTGTCACAAGGCTTCCGCCGAGAGGCCAGGATCACAAAGTCCTGGGGCTTGGTGTCGCCGCCCAAGGAGGGGCTGATGACGTGGTAGATGGCGTCGTCTTCGTCTACCTGGTGCACCAGCTCCACGTTCCTGTGGGGGGTCCGAGCTCAGGGCCCAGGCAAGGTCTGCCAGCTCCAAGCAGGAGCAGGGAGTCCCCTGCCCCCCTTCCCCCACTCCGCCCACCTCCATGGTGATGCTGCACCCCCTGCACTGCGCGCGCGCAACACCTGGGTCCTAAGTGGACACAACACCCAGACGTACACACTGGCACATTCACAGGGGGGCACCGGCACACAGACCGCACCTGCTTGCCCAGGCACAGCTGAAACAGGGCGGTCCTTGCACGGCTGCTCTGAGCAGTGTGCTCAGCCTCGCCGTAGCCCCGGGTAGCGTGTACTTTGATAGGGATGCGGAGACTCGGCACGGAGCTGCTCGCAGTCACGGAGCCAGTAAGGAAGCAGGGCCTAGGCATGTGGCAGGCACATACATGCCCAGGTGCCTACACAGGGCATCACCTACACAGGTGTGCCTGGCCTCTCGGGTTCAACTCCCGAAGGCTGGGTGATGTGGCATTGGCCATCTTAAACTCTTCCCTCGGGCCACCCGCTCACCGGTCCTACCAAGTATCAAGATCTGATCCCAGCCTTCGGTGCTTCCAAGAGGCCTTCCTCCCGTGTGCCACGCTCCCCCCACCCTCAATCCACTATAAACCACCACTCTGCGGCTAGAATAGACAGCCCTCCCCGCCCGCCCACCCAGGGCCCAGGCCACCCAGGCGGGGGCTTTTAAAGCAACACAGCTCTCTGTGCAAACAAGACTTAGGCAGAAAGCCTAGTTAACCACAGCTGCAAGCGGCGGCGGTGGCTGGGGGTGGGGGGTGGGGGAGGAGCCAAGTGCCCAGCTCTGGATTTCCCAATACTCTGAGCCTCCTGCGGGTGGGCTCAGAAAAAGCCATTCACGAAGCAATCAACAAACCGCTCCCAGGCTTAGGGTGCGGGGCGTAGCAGCGAGCTGCTTTAAAAGTGAGACTCCCCTATTAGACACTGTCACATTGGCGATTTTCCCAAGAGCCTGTTTCTCTTCCTTGGCTAAGTTCAAGATGACAGTCCTGTGAGGGATCAGTCCATGGGGGAATAAATGTACTCATAAGAACACGGGTCGTCATCGTCGACTGTATTGAAAAAGCACGCATGCCCTGCACATTCATAAGATCCTGGGTATTTGGTAGTCAGCAAATTGGCCATGCTGTTAATCATCCTGAGCCCGGGGGGCTGGGGGGGATGTGCGCGGCGGGGTGGGGTGGGGTGTGGTGTCCCGGAGCCCTGCCCACTCTCTCAGAGGCCCCATCCACCCGCAATTCCTGCCTGAGCCCCCTTCAGAGCCCTGCAGACTGTGGTTTGCAAATCACTGGCTCTGAGTTCAAGGGCATGACCTGCTCCCGGGGCCCTGCCCTCACCGGTAGTGCTTGTCCCACTCTGGCCGCCGGTGCAGATCGGAGAGCAGCTGGAAGGCCTGGGCCACGTCCACTCCCACGGTCATCTCCAGGTGGAAGGAGAGGAACTTGTCGTCCTCCAGGGTGTACAGGCGCATCTGCGTCAGGGAGAGGGCAGCCTCGATCTTGTGCCCCCTCCCCAGACGGGACCAGAACCTGGGTCTGCCACTGCATGCTGTGAATCAGTCACACACACACTCACAAGCCTCCCCATGGAAAGGCCTAAGAAGCCGGGACAATGGCTCCTCAAAGCTGTCCAACCCAGAGTGTCACGGGGGTGGGAGGCTCAGGGAGCCAGCAGCAAGGTGAAGGTCAGCAGAAAGAGCAGGGAGAAGGGGACATGGCTGAGCAGACAGCAGCTGAGGTGAGAGGTCGGGGTGGGGTGGGGGCAAGAAGGAGAAGGGGGAGAGGCTTCTCTGGCTGGTCACTCCAGGTCCTGTGCGGGTAGCTGTCTATCACTGGGCTGGATCCACTATCCCCCCATCCATTTCCAGAAATCCCTTCTGGGTGGCTTGACAGCTTCTGTTGCTTGCTGCCGGTCACTTCAGACCACGACAGAGGGTGCTGGCTTTGCTCAAAGAAGGGAAAGGTGGGTGAGGAGAGGTCGGCTACCTGGTTGACCTCTGAGGACAGCGTCCAGTTGTCCTTGGCCACGAGCATCTTCAGGGAGGAGACGTTGTTGTAGCTCAGGTACACCTGGGGAGCACACAGACCGCAATGCCCTAGCCCAGCCTCAGTGGGCCCAGTGCCCCTGCTGGGCTAGTGTGGGGAGAACCTGGATGGTGACGGGGGGAGATACTCTGGACAGAGCCCTGGGCTCTGGGAAAGGAGGCCGAGGCTTGGCTGGACTCCTGTATGGCCCTGGGTGAGTCATTTTCCTTTCGAGCCTCGGCCTCCTGCCAGTGGGGACCTACGAAGACCCTTGGTTAACTGCCTGCCCCAAGCCCACTTGACAAGGACAGTGGGGGAGGCCCCCGAGGGCCCAAGGGATGTCCCCTCTGCGCAGTAGGCCTTACCTGGTTGCAGGGGTCCCATGGGACCGAAAGGGGCATCTCCGCCTGCTTGCAGGACACAATGTACTTCCTGAGGGAGAGGAGGAGGGCAGTGTGGGTCCTTTGGAACCCTGTCCCTCTTCACCAGACTGCTGGAGGGCAGAGCCTGTGCCAAGATACTCTCCTAGGCAGCCAGGGCGCCCAAGTAGGCACAGGGGCCTGAGAACACCCCAACTCAGCCCAGAGCCCTGACAGCAGCTCCAAGACAGGGAGGAAGGGTGTCGAGCTCGAAGCTCAGCTCCCCCCAACTTGGCTATGGCTTTTCTTTAACCTCCTGGTGCCCCTACCTGCGTGCGTGCGTCAGGGCAGAACTGTGTGCCCTCAGGTTTCCAATGGCTGGTTTCTAAAGGAGCGGCTTACCAGGCCTCTAAGCTTTTGGTCAGCAGTTAAGTGTGTGAGCCATTAGCACCACTCAGGGAAATCCCTGGTCAGGCTACTGTGCTTTTCTGCCTCCATGTTCCCGTCTGTAAACTGGGCTGGTAGTCCTAGCAGGCTCACAGGGTCCCCGTGAGGAGCACAGGGCATGGTACGTAGTAAATGCCCCACCCATGCAGACTGGTGTGTATCGACATGGGCTCCTGAAGCCTCGTGTGTCCACAGCACTGGCAAACGTATGACGTCTGACCCGTCTGGGCTTGCCCAGGGTGGGCAAACTGCAGCTCCTTGGGAGCTTTCTTCAGCTGCCCACCGGGAACCCCAGCCACCAGGCAAACACAGGGCTTAACACTGGCCAGAGTCAAATCCTGAATCTGCAGATCACTCTGTGTGGCCCTGAGCAAGCCACTGAACTAAGCCCTCTGTCTTCAGCATCCCCGCCTGTATCAGGGCTGGTGAGACTGCCGGTAACAAGGCTGAAACAAGCCACGGTCCATGCAGGGCCTGGCGTGGTGCCTGGGACAAGAGGCCAAACAAAGCCCCACACCCACTGCCAAGCCCTCCGTTCTAACTTGCAGCGACCCCATCCACAAGCCTTTACAGGAGCGGATAGCCTCACATTTCTCCCACGGAGTGGCGGGTGGATTTGAACCACCAACCTTGTGGTTAGCAGCCCAATGCTTAGTCCGCAGCACCACCAGAGGTAGAAGCACTGGCAAAAGGCCAGTGCCCCAGGCCCCTCACCTGTCCAGGCGGATCTTCCTCCTGGCACTGGCCTCTCGGTAGCGCCGCTCACCTTCCTGAGGAGGGAAGCAGAGACAGACCACATTGTAGGCAGGACGGGGAGCCTGCCTCCCCACCCCAGCACCTCCGAGGAGGGCCTGCTCAACAGTGGCCAGAAACAGGCCGAAGGGATGAGCTCCAGCTCCTCCCAGACTCAGGGTGACTTGGGGAGTGCCACAGCCCCTCCCTGGGCCCTGACTTCTCCTCTGTAAAGGTACACCGAAGGCACTGTGCTCACTCGGGGCAGGCCTCTCCTGCAAGTCCCTTCCAGGCACTGTTCCATCTCAGCCTGAGAACAGCACTCTGAGGTCGGCCTGGTTCCTAGGCCCATTTTACAGAGGAGGAAACGGAGGCGCAGAATGGTTAAGTGGTTTGTCCACGGTCACAGAGCTGGGATCAGAACCCAGATGGCCAGGTTTGTGGCCCACAGTCTTAATCATCACCTCCAGTGTCCATCTCACCCTCGTTTGCAAAGGCTGGAAGGCAGAAGGTCAGTGCCACGCACCTTGTAAATTGCAACCTCACCTGCCTACCTGCAAGCCTCCACACCCCTGACCACCCAGCTTCCGGCCACAGCCTGGGTTTCTCACAACCAGTGGTTAGCTCAGTGAGTCAGCTAGGCAGAGTAGTGACCTTACAAAAGAGAGGTAACAACCTCTTCAAGGTTAAAGTCGCTGGGCCTAGAAACACCCCCCCTGCCCCCCCGTGCCCCCCCTCCCCCGGCTGCCAAAGTTCAAGTCCGTTATCTCTTAGCAGGTAGGCAATCTTTGAAGTTACTTTTCTCATCAGTGTCTGTTTTGTTAATACTATAGATTGGGTAATCCCTCTCTGCCAGGGCTCTAGTGAGCGTTAATGACTATGTATGTGTGCGATGCCCACTAGAGCGCAGGACTTCAGCGGTAGCTATTACCTAAAAAACTGCAGGAAACCAGGGCCGCCGGCCCCTCCCCTTCTCCCCCAGCTTGGCTTCAGCCCTCAGGTGCATGCTGCCCAGTTCCCCCACCTCTTGCCTCAGCTCTCACAGTCAGTTCAGGAGATTCAGACGGACCAGCTCCCCTCTCCTTGTGGCAGAAGAATTCTGATTGGTTGCCATCACCATAGCAACTCACTGTCTCCACCCCTAACCCCCCCTCCTTCCCAGGGCCAGAGGATTTGTGGACTTGCAGACTTAGTTGTCTCCTGGAAGAGGCGAGAGGCTGGGGGAGGGGAGAGAGGCTGCCTAGACAGCAAGACTTCCACCCTTGGGGGTTTGTTGGGATTCCAGACTCGTCTGGTAGGCAGTGCCCCCTCTCTTATTTATCTTTGGAAGGGAACCTTTGGTGGCACTCCAGGAACGCCTTCATTCCCTTTGAAAGGGGCTGGCTTAGGACCCAGGGGTCCTGC